AGTAATTTCTCTGTTCTCAGATATGCTGAGTGCATTAAACCTCACATTTTGAAGCAAAAATCCGAAAGACTATATTGCTTGAGTTTAACACAACTTGCAGTGCTGAGATAGGTAGCAGAACAATGAACCCAAGAAGAGCAGCAGAACTTGCAACTCGAGATTTACAATGATCGATGGCACTAAAAACTCGTATAGATCACAACAAAGCAAGGCAAGATGGCATTAGGATTGAAGACAAAGAGCTGATCTAAATTCGAATACGTTACTGCCGGTCCAGCCATCGAATCAAATTCCTCCACGGCATCTTGGTTCTTCTTCACTCTTCCTGCGATTACCCTGCAAACCAGCATCGCCCTCTTCTCATGATCCGACGAGATACGAGCCATGTCATGCGCCCTCCCGCTCGTAGCCATTGTTTGAATCCTCCCTTGCTCCTCGACTTTGAACCCGTCTCTTATGATGCTGCACACGTTGCAGTGTTTGATCGATTGGCACAGATTGGTGGATCCATTGATGCCGAGGGAGCATGCAAAAGTGGCACAGTGGAACCTCAGGAGCTCATTCCCATCAGCAACACACCTTGGATGTTTTTTCGTGAGCTTGTTGGCTTTAGCCTTTATGGAGTCTCTGTAGTCCTCAAACCTTGCTATGGCCTTCTGGGTGTTGTGGACCTTCAGTATCCTCTCTATCTTGCAAACCGGGGTTTGATTCTTGAGCCAGCTTGACTGGAAAATGATCTCAATTATGTTTCTGCTTGTGTCTTCAGGTCCCAATTCAGATACTATTTATTGCAGGGAAAGGCAAATACAGGATCAGATTTTGTAGTGAACGTTCCAAATTTCTTTATAATCATAGTTAGTTAATTTAGATAATTGAAACTCAAATTTGAATTCCATTCCAACAATTTCACCTGAAACTTAGAATGCCACCTTTGTATGAAGGACTATATAGGCTTGCTTGTTCATCACAATCAGTTTAATAATACCACCACCATAGGCCAGAGATGAGATTGGAAGATATTGAAATTGCAATATGAATGCTTGAATTATCTACTCTTTATTATTATTATTATTATTATTATTATTATTATTATTATTATTATTATTATTATTATTATTTTGGTTAAAATAATTTGGGAAATGAAATGAATTGTGTGACAAAAATTGGTCTCAAAGAGAAAAAGAAGCTGAGAACATATTTACCTGCATGTCTAATTGCCCGGTGGAGCTCCAAAGACTCGGGTCTCAGAAAGATCTCCCCACAGCCAGGAGAAGTGCAGGTGATAGCCCTCATGGAAGGATCCCCGGAAGGTCCGTTGATGGGATCGACCGACAGATGACACTCGTAGCAGCCAGAAAACCTCCTCAGGTGCATTCCTCTAAAAGATCCTCCGAGAGAGGAAGAAGACGAAGAAATGGCAGAGGCATTGATGGAGGCAGAAGAATAAGAAGCAAAGGATGTGGAGATGTCTCCTCCACCGATATCCTTACAAGGAGATCTCAAGGATCTACTGCAAGCATTGCATGTGCTCGCCGCAGGCAGCTTCTTACCAACCTCAGGTGTGGCCATCTCTGGCCTTACGAGACTGGAGTTCTCCCTCATTCTACCCAAGGACTCGGAGCATCCATTCTTCTTGCTCTTCTTCTTCCCTCGTACATCGTTCTTACCTTTACATGAAAGCAAGCTTCTCAGGACTATCCAAGAAGGTAAGTTGCTTGTCCTGAGGGTTCGACTGGCATCACCTGTTTCGGCCATTGCAGTTCCCTCTCTCTATTTGGTATCTGCTCTTACTACTTCTTCTTGGTATTTAGAGGGCATATACTTTTTTGTGTGATGTGGTGTACACTTCTTTTGCGATGGTGCTTGCAGCGACAACACCAGTGTATGTAGTGAAGGTACTGGCAAAAGGAATACTAGAATGTGACAACTGAGACCAGGTGGACCTCCAAGGAGACTACTACTAGTGGTGGTAGGAGGAAACGATGGTCATCGGCCGGCCATGAGTGGTAATACTACTCGGTTATATCTGCAATTAACTTTGGCAGCAACGAAAGATGCCCAAACCGAAACTAGAGTTTCTGAAGGCCACTCGAAAGATCCCTTCGTGTGAGCCTTTTAGGCAGTGTGTTACTACTGTTCATGGATCGGTCGAACGAGCTCGATCACACCTCAAATCTTGCCTCTGCAAAAAGCAAAAGGAGGCGCCCTCAGTAACAAAAACAAGAACGGCTAGTAAGTTTGAATAGAGGGGGCAAAAAAAAAAAATGGCAAGACACAGCTGCCGCTTTTGACTGACTTGTGGAATTCTCTTATTACAGATAAAATTAGCTGCCATCTATTTATTCTATTCGCCATTGAAAGTTGCTGACAGTCTTAGCTATTGCTTACTTCTTCCTTGGGAAGAAAAGACTGGCTGATGAGGTATATGATGTCCAGAGTTTGAACAGCTCCAGTCTTGAGATGTAACTCTACTGAGAACACCAAAATATAGTTGCAAAGTTGCCAACGGTTACTGTTACTTGTCGTGGAGCCTACACACCGCAGCTGCCTCTTTGGCATGGCTCCATCGACGTTATGATGCTGTCACCGGAAGGACACTACACTCTCTGAGTCGGCTTCAAGAAGACTGATCCCATCTAGCGTACGAAGCCATGCGATCATAATGGCGAGGGAAATGTAGAGGATAAGTGGCATTAACAGCATGTGGATGTCTGCCAAATTCTTCGGTCGCGGAGAGCCGCTCACCGCTTTCTCAAGAAACGGTCGTTGGTGAAGAGCACAAACGCCCTCATTAATTCGTGAAAGACACTTGAAAATGTCAGCATCTGCAAGAACGAGGTGGAAAATCGATGCAAGAACAAGACATGATTGATGTATCATTCTTCTCAAATCGATTTCGTTTGGGAGCTGCTGAAATTTATTTTCAGAAAATAAATTTTCTGAACTAACTTTTATTTTCAGAAAATAACATGGAGAAGCTTAGCTTAGCCCCTATTTACAATTCATGATCCTTTTGTTATTTATAATCTCTTAAAAATTTAATAAAAATATTATTTTACTATTTAGAATCCCAGTATTATCAATTTTTACCTTTTTTTCTTTGATAATCCCTTATTTCATCTTACTATTTGCCAAGTTGTCACCGTGCCGTCGACACTCTTGCTGTCGCGAGAGTATCGTTTAGAAAGTGAAAGAAAAAAGAGAAAGAAGAAGAAGATATTTTACGTCTATTTGTAAAGGGATAATTTAGAAATATAAAAAAAAATTTAAAATGAGATTATAAACGGTAAAAGAGGATTATAAATAGTAATCTCCTAACATTAAATATTATTACTTTAAAAATCAACCGGCGATTTTCCTGAAAAAAAATCTTTTTTTTTTGATAGAATGATTGATTGTTACTTATTAAATATCTATAGGATTCGTTATAACTTAGTATGAAATAACCTAAACTAATTAAAAGCGATCGATGTCTATCTAATATTAAGGAATTCTCTCCCTCCCTTTTTTATTCAACTTGTATCAACTTTCCAGTGGAAAACATTATTATACTTTTTAAAATTGATTTTATCAAAGATTTTCAAAAAAATTGATTTTTTTATTAAAAAAAAGGATAAATGATGAATGCGGAAAACTTATTCTTATCATCGTAAGTTTGATACCAGAAATGGATGGGACAGAAGCCCACATTTCTAATAACTCTATTACCTCTTAAGAAAAAAAAAAGATGAAATCAGAAGAATAAGACAGAGAATTGTAATAACACCGTAAGAGAATTGAATTGTGTTTTTTTTCTGCATTATTCTTAATATGCAAAATGTGTTTTTCATTAATCCAGACATTGAACATAACTTCTACAATTTTATAATTCAATGGTTTATTTAAAATAAAAAAAATTAAATAGATAAATCGATTTATTTGTTAAGATCATAAGGAGAAGCGAATCGAATGATAAATGTAAATGAATAATCGATAGGTAATTCATCAGCTTCATTACACAATATTAATCGGCGCCAGTTCTTGGATTCCATGGAAGATTATAATGTTTGAAATGGGTAAATAAACTTTAATTAGCTCATAAAACAAGAAGAAGTCTGTGGATTTGGTCCAAAAGCTGGTTTTGTGGTGGCAAATGAGAGAAGTAGATGACCTAAGTCTTGATCCTCCTCTTATCAAGAACTAGTTTCTCCTTTAGTTTACCATAAGATGGGTTAAATTTATATCGTATGAATTAATTGTTGACTGACTTAAAAATAGACGGTCGACCCTTATTATCAAATTAAGATTTTGTTAACTCATAATAATTAATTTATTTATTGTTGTATTTTCTTTTTAGTAGTATCAGAATTGATTGTGAATCCCATTAAAATCTATAAATTTATTAAAATCTATCGTGTTTTACCAAACGTTTTAGATGAATTTCAAAATATAGATAGATGTATTGTCCCTCTTTAGAATCAATTTTAATAAAAGTAGTATTAATAAAGAAATTCTGATGCTTAGGTTAGTAAAAGTTTAAAATAGAATTAACTGTACATGGAAAACTCTTTTTGTTTTAGTGAATGGATAAAGGATTATTTCATAATTAAAATTATTTTGATATATATTATTCTCCACTTGGTTTGGATCGAATGAATCATTATAAAATATGTTAAAATAGTAAGTAAAATAAATGAACTCTTTTTTTTTAATCTTATTACCCACCGTAAGTTTATTCTACTAACATTAGATTTTTTATTCCTTGGGTGGTGGTGGGACCTACCTACTAAGACATTCTTGACAAACTTAGTATCCTTAATATGGTTTCGGAAGGTTCAAATTAGAAATATGATCAAAAATACAAAAAATAAGTACATAAAGAACAAAATAAAAATAATACGAACCAATTCACCAAGAAATTTAAAAAGGGTGGAAAATTACTTACAATATAATGAAAATAAACAATAATTACTTAGCACTTGCAAGAGACACATAAAATTAAAAAGTAAACTATCAAGCAATAAGGAGGATTACTATTACTATAAATAAAACGATGAAATAGTACTAGGCTTACTTCACCCAACTTTACGTTCCTTAATTGAGGAGCCTTTCTCCCTTTAGTTCCCTAAGCCTCGATTCGGCATCCATTTACCTCTCGAGATTTTATCGGCACGAGTTCTTCAGAGAGACTGCTCTGCCGAGCTCAGTCCGATCCATCACGACCGAGCACCGCACATCGTCGTGGAACTTGGACTTGACCACCTTTCCCAGCACGTAAGCTTTTGACCTCACCGTGAAGCTCAGGGTCATGTTCACCGGGCCCGTGCCGCTGACACCCGGCCCTCCGCCGTAGAGCGCCACCTGCTTCCCCATCACCACCACGTTGAGCACCCTCTGGCTCTGCTTTGACTGGTGGAAATGGCTCATCTACAAAGAGGAAACGATCCGGTGAGGTGAACCAAGGAGAGCACCATCGGAACAACTGATACGGTCAAGTGATGGCGATTACGTTTCCGCTGGCCACGGTGATTCCGTAGTAGTTGAGACTTAATGGTGTCGACGTCACGTCGACGGCAAAGAAGCTCCCGGTGTTACGGTACGTGAACTCGACGGTCGAGTTCAGAGTGGCCATGCCGGTCGGCACGTTCGACGCATCGACGCCGGCATGGACGAAGAAGCTCTCGAATGTGATGCTCTACGGCGAACGACGAGTTAGAGAGCCATCGCGAATCGAGAGAAGAAGCATGACGATGAGGATGAAGAGATCACCTTCATGGTGATGCGAGGCTTCTGAGTGCGGCTGGCGCCCCACAGAACCAGAGCAAAGAACGAGAGAAGGACGAAGAAAGCGAGGACGAATCTGAGGACGTGGCACCGATAAGGGACGCCCTCGTTTTCTTCCACGCCGCGGAGCAAGCGTTCCTCCTCGATCACCGCGGCCTGGTTCCGTTCCTTGTCGCCTTCGCTGCTGCGTCGGCGGCGGTCGCCACTTCGGGTCCCAACAGCGGGCGACATGTTCCAGGAGTCGGGCATCAGCAACCCGGAGAACCAGTTGGAGGACGAGGACGAGGACTGCCTGGAGTGGGAGTGTCGGTCGGAGCGTGACCGGGTGATGACGACGGGGTTGGCGTGTAACGTCTCCATGTCCACGCTGCCGTCGAGCGACGGGCGACGCGTGTGCCTCAACGGTTGGCTGCGCGGCGACGATGAACCAATGCTCGTCTGCCCGGAGTCGGTCCTGGCGTGCATCTTTGGTCGCTACGACGACAAGAACTGGCGGGAGAAGCTTCCGCGTGCTGATCCTCTGATCTCGCGCAAGCAAGAAGATGAATGAAGGATGTAATATCATCGGACATGCTCTGCCAACCCCTCCCGTTAGGTAAGGGGATGAGACCATACATACTGTCGCACCTTTTCGCGTTGCAAAGAAGACATTGAACCTAATCAGAACCGATACGCTTCCCAGGATTATGATTCTACGGTTGCAATTAATTTACCAAATGTAATACAAATCTCTATATTCACAATACCTCCATCTAAACTTCGATTATCAATTATTATTATTATTATAAAAATCATGAAATGACTGAGTCATATATTTATTGAATCCAAACAATTAATCCAAAACGAATAAATCCTCAATTATTATTATTATTATTATCATGAAATGACTGGAGTAATTAATTTAATGAATCCAAACAATTAATCCAAATGGATGATCATTAACCTAAAATGACATTTTGAAATCGATGCAAATAACCGCATTAAGGCCCAAATCCCAAATGGTCACAAGATTAATCCAGAAAGGGTTAGATATACCCACAAACAATCCAATCGGTGTTGCCAAAAGGTAAATTATAGAATAGCAAGTTCATTGCAACACATGTAAATATTTGCCAAAGCAAACATGAAGCAAGGTTGCCAAAATAGGGTAATATAATAATATACCTGCCACAACTTGAGAATAATTTTCCAAATAGAAGATTAGAGGAGATTAACAGGCCGCCATTTAGGCTATGGTTTGGAAAATTGTCAAGAAAAAACGGCTAAAAAAAAAAGCTCCAAATAGAAGCACTGCTAGAGTACAACAAGAGACGAGGTAAACCAGAAATGCTTGATCTACTCCATTGATGAAGTTGGACCTGCTCCATAACCACCACCACCACGGCCAAAACCAGGCCTCCCTCCAGAACCCTGCAATTTTCCAAGACATAGGAACAATTGGATAAAAAGGCACGATATGCTCAAGCTTGATTCATAAAACAAAAAGATTAAAAAAGTCAAAAACAAAAAGCATAAGTGGTACCAATTGTTCACAAACTGCACGTTTTGGAAATCATAGATATATTTGATAAAGCCCAGTAGATAAATAAGACAAACTTGCACCGTTGTATCTCTTTCCCAAGCTCATGCCAGCCTCCCTCTCGATACAAATGCAACAATTCAAACATCAAACATGACAGCAATCAAATTTAACACCGTGCTAACAAGGTAGGAAGGCAGGCTGCAGATCAAATCTTCCTCTCTAATCTGAACTTTACTCAACATATCTCTGCTTGATGCTACTCACACAGACTCAGATTTAACACCACCAACCCTGGTTGAGCCCCTAGATACCATTCCCAACACTCACAACCAAGCATGCCTTGTCCTAATATCAGGCTATGCTTTCTGGCTTACTTGCGAACTAGTCGATCTGTTGTCGAGCCACAAGTATATGACGTGAATGCCTCGATGGATCAAAATTATAGCCAACCAGTCTAAATAAAATGCACCTCCTCATTCTCCTTATTCATTCATATACAGCCAATGGAGGAGTCGACATCAGGTGAGACATTGTCATTTTCAGCTAAACATTACAATTCTGGATTCCAAATTACAAAAAGTAGGTTCGAGTGCCACCATAATGTGTGCTAGAGCTAATCCAACTCAAATTGGGTGGGGAATGCATCAATCAAGATTGGGCAAGAAATGAAAAAGCCGTAAGGCATAGGTTGGAGATGAGAGGCAACAATTAGCAAGAATGATTATTGTGCATCTCCTACAATCTATATAATGGGTGAGGAATAAGTCTCGTGAAAATTTTGATGTTGCTGAATCAAGATATGAAACAGATCACAGAACAGAAACAACCAATGTATAGAGTTTTAATTCCAGCTTGTCATCTCGATGTTGAAACTAGCCTACTTCTAGTTTTACCTTTGCAAAATACAATTCTTCAACAAAGATCATACAATCATTAATAATAAGTTTCAGCAACACAAAATCTAAAAAATAGAAATTGAACAAGAACTTCAGAAATAAAACAAACATGTTGACCTCTTAAAGTTTACAGATACATGATATTAGTTTAATAGCAAGAAAACAAACGCTCAAAGAAGATATTGGGTTGATCATGACACCAACCTAAGAAGTAGCACTAGAAAGAGCATCATAATCTATTGAAATGGAAAGTCACAGTCACTGCAACATTCTACTAGAAAACATATCAAACCTCACATTTATCAAACGGTGCTCTAGATACAAAGGAGATCAGCAAAAGCAAAAGCCATCAGAGATAGGATTTGTATCGACCTAGACACTGTAAGCATCTCAGATGACCGTCGTGAGATGTTAAAATCCATTCTCATCATCTAGCTTTAACAATTAACAAGACATACAGAAAAATTGCAAACATGAGCAGCATGACAAAGAGAAACCAAAATAAAATGTGCTAGCAAGGTACAAAGTATGGTCCACAACGTATACAGCAAGAAATGAAATAAGCCATCAGCAATAGGATTTGCATCGACCTAGACACTGTTAAAAGCATCTCAGATGACCGTCGTGAGATGTAAAATCCATTATCATCATCTGGCCCCATACATCAACACAACACCAACAAAAACATTTGCATGACAAAGGAAAACATAAAAAAAAGATATTGCAAATCATGTAAACTAAGTCATAATGTGGTCCCCTTTTTTTAAAAATCACGGAGAAGGCATATTCCAAATGACAAAGCTCAAGTTTAAAATTCCATGTATCAGAACTTTAAAATGCATGTTCAGTTAGATAAATACAATCATCAGTTGAGAAGACTAGTAAGCCCAACTTATCTAATTAAGGATACGATATTTATTATACACATATAATTGTGTTGGTAATCTTTTCTTAGCACAAAGCATTGCAGAAAAGAATCAATCGCCTCATTAGGTAGCACATCTATGTACATAAACACGTTCAACAAATCATTAAAACGAGAATATAACATCAGCAAACATATGACAAACCAAAACGTTCCTTACCCTGAATGATGGCTGAAACTCAAGAGGTGCGCCACCCTTGTCACCGCCCAAATCACCTGGAGGACCACCACGGGGTCCTCCACGGTATCCATCCCTATCTCCAAACCTTGGCCGATCACCTTCAAAGCGAGGCGGGCCCCTAACCACAGTTCACAGTATTCAAAGATCAAATCTCCGGTTCAATAAACCAAAGAAATAGGTTCTAGTCCCTTCCCTTAGGAGTCTATAAGAACAAAAGGTTGTACCTTGGGCGGTCACCAGGAGGGCCGGAGCCAAAGGGTCGGGGCGGCGGCCTAGAGGACTTCTTCAGAGTAGCGGGGACGATCTCGGACGGGAGGTTGAGGTAGGTGCGAAGGTACTCGATGCCATCGTTGGTGAGGTACCAGTAGTAATGCTGCCACGCAAAGGTCTCTCTCACGTACTCCCTCGACTTGAAGCTCTGCATGAGCTTTATCACCTGCAAGTTCGGCACATCAATCTCCTGGTGCTTCGCGAGGTTGTAATCCTTCTTCGCGTACAGCACCCCCTCTGAGCCAGAAGAACCCAATCAAGAATCAAATCAAAACCAACAAAAATCATAAATTTGACGACAATCACAAGGATTAGGGACAAACGCAACCTTGGAAGAGGTACTTGCAGATCTCATGGCGGTTCTTCTTTGGGATGATCTGAGAGAAGGGAAATGGATTAGGCAAAGAATGGCGAACATAATGAGAGATATCGAAGCCAGAAGGTTAGTTGTGTTCGCTTACCATGCTGTTGGGGGAGAGGAGGGAGGACGAGATCCGCCGTCGAGGAGAACGAGCGCGGCAGAAGGTACAGCAAACCCTAATGAAATGACCGAGCTCATATATAGAGGATTGCACGGCATCGGACCGTTGATACCCCTCTAAATCATGCGGCTCAGATTGACCGGGCTGGACTAGATTTGATTTCCCAATTTGACGAAGAAATTGTTTGAATGCGGCCACGTATGAGGTTAACTTCCTTTTTCCTATTCCGTTCCCTATCGCTGCGGCGCGGACCCAGGCTGATCTTAACCTACATCGTTCACGAACTTTAAAGCAAATCGAACGGTGATTCGCAATATACACGATTATTAAAGCAACTCGTAGGCACAACTTCGATTTTGCGGTAGGCCGGCCCTTCGGCTCGGGAGGCGAACACGACAGAGACCAACGAAAACCCCAGTAAAGAGAAAGAGGGGCGAGAGGATACGGAGAGAGAGAGAGAGATGGGGGCGAAGCTTCGGTACGCGATGGTGTGCTCCTCGAACCAGAACCGGAGCATGGAGGCGCACGCGCTGCTGAAGCGGCACGGGTTCGACGTGTCGTCCTACGGGACGGGGGCGCACGTCAAGCTCCCCGGCCCGTCGCTGCGGGAGCCCAACGTATACGACTTCGGCACCCCCTACAAGTCCATGCACGACGAACTCCGCCGCAAAGATCCCGACTTGTACGATGATGCCTCCCTCTTCTCCCTTATTGGTAAAGCCCTGTTCTTGAACCTTGGTGTCGGATGCAGGTATAAGCGCAATGGGATATTGCCGATGCTCAAGAGGAACCTCGGCGTCAAGAACGCGCCGCAGCGGTGGCAGGACAATGCCGCAGATGGCTGTTTCGACGTCGTCGTCACTTTCGAGGAGAAGGTCTTTAATATTGTCATTGAAGGTCGGTCTTTCCTTTTCTTTGGTACATATTTGTATGGCCGTCCGCGTTGTGCCTTTAAATCTGGGGCCACAGAGCCGCATTTTCTGATTTGGGGGATTTCAAGCTTTGATAGTCTGTTTGTTTGTGTCATTCTTTAATGGCGACCTTTTTGGTTCATAACGATGCAAGTGCAATCGCTTTGATAAGGATGACCTTTTTTATTTCTCATGACTTCAATGAGCAAATGGAAGTCATGAGCAAATGGACTTCAAAGAGTAATCAGGTTTCCTAGATCGTCATGTTTTTTGGCCCGAATAACACACGTAGGAAATGTTTGGCATGCAACACGCTGAAGTGGTTTTTGAATCTTTTGGACAGACCTTAGTAATCGGAAACAAGTGTTGATAAGAAGTGTACTGATCATCAACTTGGAGGTTAAAGATAATCACGAAGAAGCTGCCACCGGTGGCAAGCTCACTTTGGAATTATGTCAAGAGGTATGTATTTTATGCTAAGATTTATGTTTGTGATAATCTATATGTGCTTAAGATGGTCGTATCAGTGACATCTGGACATTGCCCTCTGTCTTATGTTGAGTGTCTTAATCTCGTAGTTGAATTACTTCAGGTGCTGTACCTTAACAGATACTATGCATGTCTCACTTTGCCCATTGAAATTATGCAATATTCTCGCTTAGATTCTTCAGAATTTTGCTCGTCTTTCTTATCCAAATAAAAAATAATAAAAAGAAGAGGTGCATCCTTAACCTTGTGCCTATGCAAGGACAAATGATGTATATACTAACTTCTTATGGACTCTTATTTAATTTGGTAGATCTTCGGAACTACTTCTTTCTTATGTCACAGAGTTATGATGTTTTCTCATTTCACACTTTTATTAGTCACTATATCACCTTTTCAGAAAATTCTGGCCAAGTTTCCTTTGAGCCCTTTTGCCTTTCATGTTGGTCCCAAACAAGCTTCTAATTTTCATGTATAGCTATATATGTTTGATATGCATGTGACTACAATCAAGGGTTCAATTTTCAGATGTTCTGTCCCATGTTGAGTGAAAATTGTTCATCCTGTGGGGTTCCTGTCTGTTAATTATGAGGCTGTTTCAGTGAGATACAACTTCTTGATAGGTTCAGAGTATTTTCGGTTATTTCTGGCTTGTTTTGTCATGTTTTGTTCCATTTGGCATTCTTTAAAGACTGTTTCATTCATTTTAATTGAATCAGCATTTTAGTTGACTGAAATAGAACTTCAAAGTTAAGAAGTACCATTACCCGTTGTTTAACTTAAGAATCATTTTGGAATTTGCAGCAAACAGGTTTAGAGCTTTGAGGTGTCATTTGTTAGATCATGGGCACAACAGTCTGCTCTTTATTGAAGTTCTCTTTCTCTTTTTCTTTGTTATTTCCACTATTGCGGCACATTAACTGTATCGACAGGTTGCATGCCAAGATGTAATTCCTGCATTGAACAAAATTCCCTCATACTTCAAGAACTTAAAACCATAAATTCAATGTAAAACAATCTTTTGAGCAGTGTCCACACAAATATTTAAATATCAAATCACATTGCCTTGATAAAGTGACTTGTCTTGACCGATGTGCACCTTATGTAGCCATACTTCTAATCAGATCAGGGTTCCCATGACTTCTCTTTTCTTTGAATACCCATGTGGTTTAATATTCAAGGAACTAATCTTACCTAACCTTCAACAGATTTGTCCACTTGACAGATCTGCGTTTACCTACGCACTTGAATAGAAGGCGGGTGGTTCTTAACTTTGCAATGCCTTACATTGAGTGTGGGTGCTGGCGATCAAGGTTGATCAATAAGAACTGGCCAACACTCAACACACCACCAAGCCAATTCTTAACAATTTGTTTACCTCAGAAGGAAAAGGGAAGCAAAGAACATTGATGGCTATCACCTATAGCAATTCGACTAGGGGAAGGAGAAGAAGAATACGAAGGAGAAAAGACAAAAAAAAAAAACCTATGAACTGCAATGTTGACTATAAATTGGGAAGAGACCACTTTCAACGCTTGTGGCCACCACCATGTGAAACAAAAAGGAAATGACAATGAGAGAGGGGATAAGAGTGATGAGAACAGCTCCTAGCCTCATGAAGGGATAGGAATGCTATGACATAAAACATGACAGGAAAAGGGAAATGCTACATTTGATCAATTTCACTGTAGAGTTCTTTCTATTTGATATTGCATTAGCTAATATTTCAGAGCAATGTTTCAATTTTCGTTTTGAAGCTCATATCGGTCAGGCCGTCTGATACTTAATGGTAGGCTTCAATTTTCAGTCTGAGACCCATATAGGTCGCTGGCTAATTGATATGTGTTTGGTACATACCAGCATATTAGCACATGGTATGCCAACGGACAAATCTACACGGTCCAAATAGAAAGAGGGAGAGAAGAGTGGAGGAGGACACTTGAAATCTAGTTTTTCAAATCTAAAAGAAAACTAAGTAACACTCTGTTGCAAAAGAAGACTTGAAAATAAACCTATTGTTGATAGTTGTGGCTGTTCAGAACTCCAAATTAAAGAATAAAAAATAAAAAATAACTTTGTTTTGAATTGGACATGGCAAAATCACTTTGTCCAGTTGCTGGTCCGATCCAGTTGTCGGTCCTTGGTCGATAAATTCCAATTTGTACATATTGGTTCGGCTGATTTTCTGAACTTTGATTCATACTTCATAGTGATGGAGATCGTTGAGGCCACATGGGGGTCATTGCTATTTTTGAAATTGTAGATAAGTTTTTGGTTTTTGTATGGCATACATATAAAGGTTATTTACAATAATAATATTTTTGTATGATATCCTTTTATCTTTTTTATTTTAGTTCTTTTTTAAAGTTGATCTTATGGAATGAAAGTGAAAATGTCTTTTCACGTGTATTTTATTAGTTTCTGACGTTCACTTTCTGATTTTTTGTATTTTTTTACTACTTTTGTGATTTTCACTATGTTTGGATTTTACATTATTTTCTCACCAATTACAATCTCATTTAGGTGTTCTTCGTATCTCACCATTCTTGGTCATATCACCCTTTGCAAATCCCTATCTTGATTCCGTGAACCTTGGGATATAGATGGATAAAGGAGTTGAGAAGTAGGGTATTTAAGATGGGGAGATGTGTGCAGAGTTGAGAAGCTAACAGTGACTTCTTCAAATGTTTAATATTGCACAGACATGTTTAAGGAGACTTGTAAAGGAGTTGAGAAGCTACCAGTCACTTTAGTGTTCCTCGAGCAACTTGGATATTAAGGAGACATGTTTAATTGGTCAATTCATTATCTTTGTTATCTTTTGTTTTTCAAGAATGAAATTGGACTAGTACCTCATGCTAGGAGACTTTAGATTGCTGACTAGTACTTCATGCTAGGAGAGTCTTTAGATGTTAAGGTTCGTGGAGAAAGGAGGTGGCTCGATAGGGATAGTGAAAATGAATCTCTCGATAAATCATGTTGAGATTTGGCTTGTTATTTTAACTAGCAGACTGATTTGGTCTTGAATAAAGAAAAAACAGGCAGGATATCATTTGAACAAAAATGAAATCTTTTCTTGTGTGTGTGTGTGTGTGTGTGTGGAGAGGGATCTGTCAAACGACATTTTATTTGCTCTCTTTTCACAGAATGTCATACATGGACAAAATAACAAATTCTAGAGAGAGACAACAAATCAATGTATTTGTTAAAAATAAATACTTCAGTTAAGAAGAAGAGAAACAAACGTTCTAAAGAAATGTAGTGTGAAACTTGACTTCATCATGTTATTTGCAGAAGAATTCTTTTGGTCTGAAACAGGGAAAAGATAAATTATACACTTTAATTTCCCTTTCTGTTACTGAGTATAACCAAGTTGATCAATTGCAAACTAAGCTCTCATAAGTCATCAGAGAATTCAGATGTGAAGAAAGACCATTTTGAACAATAATATGCCTGAAGATAAGGCAAAACATATACATAATCAATCCTTTAACAATGTCCTCATATTTTGTTATTTCATGATATATGAAAACTGCCTTACCGTGCATGTAAATTTGCCTATCTCAAGTTATTTCAATGAAAAATGTCATGTTTGTATTAGACATCCTGTTCTTTAATTTTCTCTTAATATGATATCTCATTCGTCATTTACAACAGTGTCTATACAGTAAATCACTGTCAGATTAAATTTCTTAGTATATGTTAATCTATCTTTTTTGGTAAAATCTCTAGCTCTTTGACAATATTTCATGTCTGGCATAATGGCCACTGAGATTACAGAGTAAATATAAATAATTTCCAAGCCTAGTAAGCTACTTGATCTTTTGCTTATATCAGTGGGAAAATACTGGTGGATGGTTACTATTATCTTCTACATAGTAAAGTGCGCCTACAATTAAAAATTATGTGAAATCTAATTTTCATTGTTTGTGAATATGAAATGGACATCTGCAATACCATTTAGCTAATAAGAGGTATATCATGGTGTAGATCGAATCAGCAGACTGCTGGGAGGATGCAATTGATGATATTGTTGCTGCATTTGAGAGACAACATAAGCGAAAACTTCTCTACACGATCTCTTTCTATTAGATTTAAAGCGGACATCTCATTCTATTATATTAGATCCAAAGTGAATGTATTTTACTTGGTGTTCTTAGTCATCCTATGAGAAAAGTGAAACCCTACGTCGTGTCTAAGTAGTGTTGGTTTTCTGATGGTAAAGATTCAGAACATAACCCCTTGCTCTGGTAGAGTTCAGGTGGGCAGAGGAATCTGGTTGGTTTGATGAGGTGAGTTCGAATTTGTACTTTGTTTCTCAAACAAAAATAATATATTGTTCTTCTGGGGTTGACCCCAAGTATTCATGACATGTTAAATGTTTGATCCACACCTGACAAGGCCAAGTGTTTCTCAAGTCAGACCAGTGCAATTGCCTGTTATCCAGTCTAAATGAGTCAGGTTGACAGGTTCTGGTCTGTGTCAATTACCATATGTTCCTTACAGTTTATCTGTTTGTCATCCATCATTAAAATTTCACCATGTTGTTAAGCATTTGTGTCCAAAGTTACTGGATTTGTTTTTGTTCCTCCATTCTATATATGACTAATAAATTAAGATTTTGGATTAGATGATGATGTATCAGATGTGCATTTAGTTAGAGATCAGGGATTTGAAATCTTATTTAAATTCTATTCAAATTATTAGTGTATCATGATTTTTATATCTAAAACATTAGTCTAGTTATGATGTATCAAATCTACTTAGGATTAGGATGAGGGTTTGATACCAGTAGGCATTGAGCTGCAATTATTGGAGCATAAGATAGTTGATTGGACTTATGAATTGGTTTGTTGGAGTATTGAATTGTGTATTTACATAGAACTGTGTGTATTGTATATACACAGATTTATATGATTTATATGATGGATTTTGGTTTGAGGTTCAATTTTTTTAGGGTTTGAGTTGATTCAATTTCAAGTGACAATTAGTAAATAAATTAAAAAATAAATAGTTGCAAATAAGGCCTTAGATGTGTAGCCATCATTGTTTCATTGTATGAGAATTAATCGACATTTAATTGGTATCGTATCTTAGGCAAGCACCATCGCGGAGAGACTCTTATATTGTGATCCTCGAGGGACTTAACCAAGCCTTCCTTAGTAAAGCGATATATAAAAATAAAAACTAATCAAAATTAATTGAGAAAGATGAGGAAATTAATCTTGTCGATGTTATAGGGTTATTACCGACAACTGAAACTAGATTGAATCCGAGCGATCTACTAAATGATGCTTTCATTTGTATTATCTTTTGTATGAGCATGATTATAGAGTTACTCGACTAAATATTCTTGAGAAACAAAATTTATTCAAATAATTAAGAAAATAAAAAAAGAGGAAATGAATTTAAAATCAAAACCCTTTGTATTATCTCTTGCCCCAACGGATTAGGCCGCAACTGTATGAACAAAAATTAGATTAGACTTAAGCTTAACATCGATATTTTCGATCAAGTTTTATCCGGTATTATCATTTGACTAAGTCTCTTTCGATAAATCGGGTAATAAAATCGAAGAGAAAATGAGTTTCATCAATGTATTGGGATTGATTCGTGAATCAAATCCCTGAAAGAATGTACATCATGTTAGCCCATTGAGGAGGTCTCAATGCAACATCGCATCCAGTGATGAAAGAAAGCATTCAGTCCTTGTTCTGAAGCTAGTCGGTCTCCATTATGAGATCCTTGTGATATCAGCCAGTCCTTTTCTGAAGGTTAGTCTGTCACCATTCTGAGATCTTTGTGATCGCATTCTTACTCGACCGTCAGCCAGAAGAAGGTTTTCATTCCACCGGTGCTCTGCATCTTTTGCCACTAAGCGGCGAAAAGGAATGATGATCTCATGGCTTCTTTTCCCGGTGGTCCTTTGCATCGCAAGCACATCATCGATACATTTGGGCGAGATCTCATACGGTCATAGGAATAGCTACAACAGTTCAGGTTTGTTTTTACGTGGTTAATTGATACATTAACCTGTATGTATATATATATATATATATATATATATATATATATATATATATATATATATATATATATATATATATATATATATATTCTCTAAAGGATAAACGGAGATTTGATCTCAGTATGTTATTGTTAATCAAAATCTTTATGAGCCATGCTAAATGACACCCTCAAAAATTTATGATCTCATGTTATACTATCACCAAACTAACTAATTTTCTTAATTTTTACTTACTAGAACTAAATCGAGAAGTGATCTCGTTGAGATTTGGGTCATTGGGTCGTTGGTCGGTCAATTGATCGAATCACATGTTTAATATATATAGTAAAAATATAAAATTAATTTAAAAAAATATATTGTTGTTAATAGTAAAAGTTTCCGAGTTAGATTAGACGATACCTTAAAAATTTATCAAATAAGGTCTTAAATTTTTAATATTTGATAAATATATTGTTATGATTCTTTTTCTGGGCTTTTGAATAATGTTTATTGAGTTTGTTTAATTCAGTTAGAATCAAGTAGAGGTTTATTTAATATTTATTTATTATTAAGAATCCAAATCGTGATGTACTCTAAGTGGAACTCTATAAATAGTGATGTAACCTTTTCTTTAAATCAATCAATAAATAAAATATTATTCCAATTTGTTATGACAAACCCTAGGAGATCGATCCCCTCAAAGCGATCAAGGAGGTCGATTCCATCGAAGTAATCATCCTATTTTCTTTTATTTCTTCTATTTCTTTTACGATAAAACCTTAAGGTTCTATCATTTGGTATCAGAGCAACGATCCTCGGTGTTCTTGCTGCAATTATCATCATCTAAAAAAAAAAACAGAAAGAAAAGAAGGCCGACAGCTACACACGCAATCGAGAACCCTTGCTTCCCTTGCTCCAGCCAATGACCACCGCCGTCGCCGCTGCAAGAGCGACGATTCTTGGCATTCTCGCTGCAGTGTTGTCGTAGCTATAAAAAAAAAAGAGGAAGAAGAAGCCACAGCCATGCACCCCTGCTTCTGGCCAGCCCACCGTCGCTTGCCGCTGCAAGGTGACTCCACCGCTACCGCTACGCCCTGGCCGCTCGCTGTCGCTTGTTCACCGCCAGTCGCCTCCCACCCGAGCCACCACCGTTGCCTCCTTCTCCACCGCCGCCCGACTCCCCTAGGGTCGCAACCGCAATCGCTCTACCTCCCCTCCTCGGCGATCGTTGGTGACGCTGCTCCCAGCCGCGCCACTACCACCGCTGCCTCCTTCTCTACCATAGCCCGCCTCCCATTGAGTCGTAGCCGCAGCCACTAGACCTCCCCTCCTTGCAGCGACCAAAACAGGGTAACTGAGAAAGGGCCGCTAGCGCTATTTCTGGCCAGCAGACCACCCCCTGGCAATGCCTAGCCTCGACGCTCCTTTTCTGCTCCTCACCCTCGACGATCTTGCTCCCAGCCGCACCGCCACTGCTGCCTCTCAACCCCGGCAACAACCTTTCCTTCTGCGATGTGACAGAAACAGAGCCCTTTGTTGTCGCAGCCCCCTCGTCGATCCTTGCCGCCGCCACTACTCCCCGGCCACCTACCTCCTCCTCTCTAACACCGCCGCCCCTGCTTCTCGACAGCCCGCACCCTTGCTGTAGCCCGTCGCACCTCTGCATCATTGTCGCAACCTCAACCCCCTTGCTCTACACCATTGTCGCAGCCCCCTTGCCACCATCACCGCTACTTCCCGACCAGCAACGTCTGCCACTGATTCCTCTTTTCCACCGCAGCCTCAACCCCGGCCACTTCAACACCTCAACCTCCTTGCTCTGCATCATTACCGCAGCCTCAACCCCCTTGCTCTGCACCATTACCGTAGCCCCCTTGCTCTGCTTCGTTGCCGCAGCCGTCGGTTGCCACCACTACAGCCTCAACCCCGACCGCTTCAATGCCACCTCCCTCTTGTTCTGCCTCTGCTGCAGCAGTTGCCGGTTGCCATCACCTCCTTGGGTCACAGCAATCGCAACCGTCGCCTTTCAGCCTCAGCGCTCTCATCTCACGCAACGACAGAAACACAGGGCAGCAACTCTTCCTTCGTCACAGCCACCACAGCGACGAGCCCTTGGTGGCGCTGCCCCCAACCGCACCACCATCGCTGCCTCCCAGCCCTCAACAGCAGCGATCCCTCCACGCAGCGACCACAACAAGCATCGCTGCCTCTCACCAGTGCCTCCTTCCGTTGTGCGACAGAGACAAAGCAACGTTGCCTTCCATCTACGCCATCGCAGCCACCACAACGACGAGCCCTTGGCGATGCTGCCTCCCAGCCCTCAGCAGCAGCAATCCCTCCACGCAGCGATCGCAACAAGCATCGTTGCCTCTCACGCAGCGACCACAGCTACATCCTCATTCCCATAGTGCTGCCACCGACTGCGTCACAACAGCAGCACTGAATAGGGCAGTGATTGATGCCCTTGACCGGCATAAAAAAATGAATTGAGAATACAGATTTGCAGCTATATGTAATGGCTGCTAATAACTCAGTGAAAACATAAATGGAAGCGTTGGAAACCAGAATTGAAAATTGGAAAATAGAAGCATTGGAAACTAGAATTGAGAATCGGCAAATGGAAGCGTTGGAAATCAGAATTGAGAATCGACAAATGGAAGCGTTGGAAACCAGAATTGAGAATCGACTAATGGAAGCGTTGGAAACTAAAATTGAGAATCGGCTACAAGCAACCCTTCATGATTTCAAAAAGAGCTTGTTGGAACACTTTAGCGGGTTTCAACAAGATGGGAGCTCAAGTTCTACGTTGCACAGATCTGAAAATACAGGAAAAGGGCCCCAAGACTATGACACAAACTACTCACACATGAAGGTAGAATTTTCGAGATGGGAAGATGGAGATCCGACCAATTGGATCTCTAGGACAGAAAATTTTTTTCGTTTTCACATAACTCCAGAAGAATCCAAGGTGGAAATAGCCTCAATCCAACTAGAGGGAGATGCAATCCAGTGGTATGATTGGTAAAAACTGTCATGGAGTCTCCTCGTTGGAGTAATTTAAGAGAAGACTTGTTATTCGCTTTGGACCATCTAAATATGAGAATGTTGATGGGCAGCTCGCCAAAATTCATCAGACTTCTACAGTGTTGGAATATCAAAACAGGTTTGAAAGATTGTCAAATCAAGCTAGAGATTGGTCGGAACGATAACTTTTGGGTACATTTATTGAAGGGCTTAATCCGGAGATTCGGTGTGAAGTTAAGGCTCCTCAACCCCGCACCATGATAGTTGCGATTTCATTTGCACGCCTGCATAAGGAAAAAATTAGCATGGAATATCATTGAAACAGAGATGTCAATAAACAAGTGATCAGTAAGCAACATACCCCATCTACTCCCAATCGAAATCCTAACACTTGTAGACTAACCCAAGAAGAACTCAAGGAAAGATCAGCAAAGGGTTTGTACTATGATGAAAAGTGGAGTCTGGAGCACCAATGTAAACAAGGGCAACTTTTGATGATTGAGTCAATTGGAGAGGAACCGGAAGCAGAAGAGTTGGACTCTGATCATAAAGGTGTGGAAGATGATGATGATATTGAAGCCATCACACATACAGTGCATGTTTTGGCTGGCTACGCTAACCCACAAACTATGAAAATCGGACGAACTTTGAAGCATCTGCCTGTCACTGTTTTGATTGGTACGAGTAGCACTAATAATTTTTTGGACAGGAAAGTTGCAGCCCGATTAGCTTACCACATTGAAGGCCGTGACAGATTCAAAGTAAAGATTGCTAATGGATGGATTTTAACTTATGATAGCAAATGCTCAAAGATAAAATTGATTATACAGGAGTTTCTTGCAATGATTACTACACTGAAAGACAGATCTATTTCTTACACCAGCAAAAAGTGGATACCATACTTCCTTGATCAACGGGTTGTGATGCGTTGCAGATAGCCTATGACTGAAGTGCTGAAAGAGAAGCTCCCCGAGTTTGATATTGCTCAGCATTGAGGACAATGCTGGTTTGAAGAGGGAGGAATTGTTAGGACCCTTTTTCTGAGCTTTTGAATAATGTTTATTGAGTCTGTTTAGATCAGTTGTTTATTGAGTCTTTTTAGTTCATCAGATAGAGGTTTATTTAATATTTATTTATTATTAAGAGTCCAACTGGTGGACTTTAGGTGGAACTCTATAAATAGTGATGTAACCCTTTCTTTAAATTAATCAATCAATAAATGAAATATTATTTCAATTTGTTATGACAAACCTTAGGAGATCGATCCCCTCGAAGCGATCAAGGAGGTCGATCCCCTCGAAGTAATCATCCCATTTTTTTTTTTTCATTTTTTCTATTTTTTTTACGATAAAACCTTAAGGTTCTATCGTATATCTATTATATCATCACTAGATCAATTTTTAAAATTTATATTCATAGAATGAGTGAGGCTTTGAATCCTCGACTTGAAATAAAATTTATCAAATAATGTTTCGAACCTTAACCTTTATCAAGTGAGTCTAATAAAATTTGATGGTATTTTTAATGATAAGACAATCATCTTAAAAAAGTTGTGTCAACACTTTCTCTAAAGCCATATGTTTATTATCCCAATGTTAATAGCTTCGATTCCACAAAGAAATGTTATTTCAGCACTTGGTGTTGAATTTTGTTATTTTTATTTTTTTTGTTTGAACATCATAATAATCTGAATAAATCTTAATTAATTATCAGTGCACAAAAAATAAAAAATGCAGATTATCATTTGAAGGACAAGAGGATGAGTTGGTCTTTGATGAGAATAATCCATTTTGTGGTCCATAAATGATGCTTTCTTGAATCCATGGACCCTCCTCCGTGTACGTACAATCATGTGATATGAACTTAATATTAGGTTTTATGCTTTGCATCCAATGTATATATATGTAACAAAATATTGAGATAATATCTTGATTTAGTTCTGTATCGAAAAATGAATGAATGATCAAAATTAAGTGTAAGAAATATTGAATTAGTGGTTAGTCAAGTCAACAAAATGATATCCACCAAGTATGAATGTAATTAGATTTATAATCATAATAAATTATAATTATATAAAATGATAAGAAAGATTGCTTTAATGAAAACATAAAAGGAAGAGAGATATTTTTCTCACTATTCCAACCGCCGGTCCATTTGTTTATTGGACAGTTAAATGTACCTTTCCATTATGTCGGGAAGGTTAAATGAACGAACGACGTGTTCATTCGGGTGACATCTAAAAAACCCAACTATCAACTACTTTTCACCCACTCACAAAAAGAAAAAGAACAAAAATATATATATATCCATCTCTAAAGTCTATTTATTTCTCGAAATCTGAATTCGGCAGGCAGGCAGGAATTGTGAATAGTTAAAGCTCTTAATATGTGAAAAGCCTAAAAAATGTTGTGGATAAGCCGAAATGGCCCCCACACATAATTTTGTGGATAAGCTCACGAATTGACGTCCAAATCGCTTTATGTTCTTTTGGGCTTCGCTCCTTCTTCGTTGCAATGATTTGGTTGGAGGATGTGAAGTCACCACATAGACAAACCATCCATTATTATTTTTTTCCTTTTTGTGATTTATTATTATATAAATCAATCGATTTATATGACTTAATCTTTTCTAGCTAGTAGAAAAAAAACTAAGCATATATTTCATGAAGAGGTAAACAAGCAGCAAGTATCATTTCATGATTATAAGCATCTTTACTAACATCAAAATGGGCTCCATAGATTTATAAACTTTAACTTTCATAGATAATAAATATTTTTCATTAATTATTAAAAAAATAAATAACAATAATAATAATAATCGATCTTAGGTAATTAAGATCTATCCCCGTGTAAGATAAAGGACGGTTGAGATTGGTGATGATGAGGGAGGACGGTCAAGATGGGAACCGACGAATCCGAGCATCAACCCGAGCATATTCCCCGGACATCGCCTTGCCGACAATGCCCGTTTGTCCATTTCCTGTGGGGCCCGCTCACAACATCCCGCGCTTTTGTGGGTCGAATTAATAATTCGCGCTCGGATTAGACATCGATGGATTTGGTCGTAGTTTCGTGACCGAAACCAGCCGACGTGTCTTCATTCGTGCCTCGAGTGACATCGTGCGCGTCGCGTCCCTCTCCGGGCCACGTGGAATACTGGCCCCTGCCTTCGGTCCAAAGAAAGATACCGACACCATCACGTGGTGGGGCCCAACCACGTCCTATTGGTCTCACCCTTCCGTTAGTCTCGGCGACGTGATACTTCGAGACGCTCCACGTTCGTGACGGTCCTTTTAGACCCATGTCACGGGCCGTCCGATTAGAAGTCTATCAGAATCTAACGGTTCAGATCGGATTGATGGGGTGACTCGAGCATCCATCTCCAAGTGTGATTTCCCAACCACCGGAAGATCACGGACGTCCACTCGGTCGACTCGGACGTGGGCCCCTTCAGCTTCGCACCGCTATATGTACCCCGCCCTCCTCCGTCCATCTCAAGCGCACAGCCACCGGTCGCAAACCACTGTTTCAGTCTTACCTGCAAAAGATGGCCGAGGAGAAGCACCACCACCACCTCTTCCACCACCACAAGGAGGAGAAGCCCGCGGAGGAGGTGATATACTCCGAGACAGCCTACTCCGGCGGCGATGACTACGCCTCCGGCTACACCGAGACTGTCGTCGCCGAGTCGGCTTCCGATGAGTACGAGAAGTACAAGAAGGAAGAGAAGCATCACAAGCACAAGGAGCACCTCGGCGAGATGGGCGCTGTCGCCGCCGGTGCCTTTGCTCTGGTAATTCGTCTTGATCATAGGTTTCGGTTCTGCTAATGATCACCTACAAACAATTTAAGTTGACATTAGAACACATGGCGATGCAACAGTACGAGAAGCACGAGGCGAAGAAGGACCCCGATCACGCCCACAAGCACAAGATCGAGGAGGAGATCGCTGCGGCGGTGGCGGTTGGCAGCGGAGGCTATGCCTTCCACGAGCACCATGAGAAGAAGGACGCCAAGAACGAGGCGGAGGAAGCGAGCGGAAAGAAGCATCACCACCACCTCTTTTAGGGGCTGCCCTCTTTGATCGGCTTCCATGTTGTGCACCAAATAAGTTCAGGCTGGCTTGTCATGATGGCCTTGGCTGCTACAATAATTGGGTGCATGTGTTATGTGAAATAGATTTGTGTTGAGTGTGGGATGCTTGGTACTTTTGTTTTTTTTTCTTTTATCCTTGTATCAAAAACCCTTAAAAATAAGAAAAAAGGCTTCTTAGAAATGTTCTTTCTAAGATCTTATAATGAACATCTTTTCCTTTTTTTTTCACTTAAATAACAAAATATAAAATTTAATCTCCACTTAATTTTCATATTTGAAGAAGTTTTGCTGAGTAAATGCAGTTTCAGCTCTCATTGACTTTGAGAAACAAAAGCTGACAAGTGCCTGTCCCAAATCTTATCACCAGTCACACTGAAGAATGCAGGTTTCATGGAGAAAATAAATAAAAGCAGGATTGATTATGACTCATCACTCTCAAAAGTTTCTTTCTTTCTCCTATATTAATTATTATCCCAGTCTGTGTCGGGACTGAAAGTTTTTGGATCAGTGGGATCTCCCATATTGAAGTATCTTCTAGATGAATTTTGAATGAGATTATACTGATTTTTGATCCTATTGTAATCTTATCAAAAATCAATCACCTCATTCAAAATAAATCTAATTCGATCTTATTTTTTTATTCTTTTTATCAAAATTCATTCTATAAAATGGATTCTTATAATTCAAAACCATGAAAATGAGGGACTGATGATTATTCTTACAGTCCATGAAAAAAGAAAGTAAAGTGTCATGCAACACAAAACCCGAAAACAGTGCCTCGCGAGTGTGGATCTCTTATCGGGTTCGGCCCGTTAACCTGTTAGGATCCCGACTCGACTCGACTCGAAGCTGAACTAGACTTAGAGCTTCTATTGGAGATTCTACTGATCGACTTTGGTATCCAGTAAAAAGCTACCCTTCTTTCCGATCACTACCAACAACACCCTACTAAACTCTACTTTCTGTTCCTTTTTACTTCCCGCAACTAATCATGTCCTGCTTGTCTACTGTTGACTTGCTCAGAGCTCCATCTTGATCTCATTCTTTGCCTTGGGATTCTCTCATTGACAAAACCTGGGAATAGGAAATACTATTTGCTTCGAATAATAATGAATTTCTATGAAATGAAAGACTTTCACGGGCGTCCGATATCGTTGAGAAATAGAACAAGTGTTCTCGAACGATTTCCTGCAATTCGCGTATGGAATGAGTCCAAAATCTCGATCTATACGAATGGGTTTTTTTTGTGTTTCTTTCGATAGTTTTTTTTTGTTTCCAAAGGATAGCTGAATAGCCTTACTCTATAGTTACTATATGAAAATAATATCGAGTATGATATAAAGTGATTTGTTAGACATAATTAATGAGCACTAATCTCAATATGATGATAAGGCATCTCTTTAGTAGTTCGCCCCATATAAGGTTCGTGAAGATAATAAGGACATGAACAATCGATGATAATGATGTTGACGATCGATAGATCGAGGAGTAACACTTTATACATCCTACCCAAGATTCATATTACCAAATTCAAACATTCACAATCTCGCATATTATCGAAAGGATAGAAGAAATGAAAAAGATAGTTGATAACTTTAAGTAGATGTGTCGATGCCTTATGATGTCGACATCATATTATAAATGATCTTATAGCTAATAGATGTATAGTCATAATTGGTAATTTTTTTAGTTTGATCATTCTTCCGTTTTAGAATTATAGATCAATAATAACGATAGTCGCAGACATATATTGTCAATGATGATAAGGTAATAATTATTATCATATTCATACATCAATTACACATGGTTTTCTAGTACAATATATTATGGGAGCAATTACAAGATTGCATCTAACAAACCTAACATATTGAAACATAACTTTATTTACAGGTACATATCGATATATAGACACATGATATATCGTTATTAGTACGTATCAGTCCGACGTCTAATTGGATGGATCATCATGACATAGCCAAATATTGCTGGCATGTCCATCCTCATTCGTTTCTATGGCAAAGCAGGCATAATTTGTATCCATTTGTTTGCTGCTGCATTACGAGTTTGTGACATCATAAGTGTCTCAATGTCAACCAAGTCGGCTCTTTCACAACCCTTTCTAGGAGACAACCAGCTTTATTTTTTGTGAGTTGTGATCCAAAATGTTTCCAGTGGAATGCATAAATCTTCTTTCCATAATCACATCTTGTAACTCTGATTTACTCAATTTGGATATTAGCTAAATTTGTCCTCAGTTAACCTTTGGAAGTCATTGCAAATATAAGCAGGATGAATATTAGACATCATTTGACAAGGAAGAACAAACCAATGCAAATGTCACTTCATCAACAAAAATTGGATTTGTGAAGATACGTGCTCATACTGAGGCCGCAGAAACACAAGGATGATCCTAAGAAATGATTACAAGTTGCATTTCATCGAGATGAAACAAAACTTATCTTGGCAAATCAATTACCTTCGTCACTTATTGGAAAAAAAAAAAAAGGATGTTCGATCTGACTTGATGACAAGAAATGCAACAGAAACATCTGTAGATTTATCGAAGTTCTTGACAAAATAATAGCTAAGAATTATCAGCTATGACCTGAGGGATGTAAAAACTGCTTAAAATTAATTTGACGCCAGTTCTGTCAGATCTCATCGCTTTGGTTCACCCATTGACTTGCCCTCGAAGAACTCACTTAGCATTCGCTCGAGATCTTCTGGAGTGTATCTAATGTACTTCAGTGGGTTCTTACCATTCTCAACCAACGGCCTGACAGATGAAAATGCAAATCTAAGAACCACAATAGAACAAAGAAGTGGAAGAGTAGAAATTTTAAGGGTAAAAGCAAAGTTTTTCACAGTACATAATGAAAAATGAATTTCCGGCATGTGTCTATGATAAATCTCAAACTAAGACTCCAACCAAACTTTAATTATCTCAGCACTTCACTAGTTCTACAGCAACAATTTTTTCCAGCATATAGATTGTTCCTTGAGGCTTTTTAAGCCTATCCTAATGCTTAAATCAACATGTCCAAATTGGATTCTGAATATCTTGCAAGAAAGAGCTAAAGATACAGATAGAGTTATTGACATGAGAAATAGTAGAAATTGATTACTTAAAAATAGAATATTATGGGTTCAATGAAGCATACCCAAAACGTTTGATGTATGATCTATAAGCTGGTAATAAAACTTCAGCAATTGCAAGTCTCAGATACTCGCGCAGCTCCTGATCAGGTACTGTCCATTGAGACTGTCTTTGATGAAGCTCCTCAAACTGTACGTTAAAGGACTTGAACCTACTATGAAAAAAGGGAAGTTTCATTTTGCATATTTATTATACACGAATATAGAATGAGAGCTTTGCATAGACCTCTCTTTTATTGATGCTCTGGAAACTCCACTGTTGTTGGCTCCTTCACTTCCCAAGGCTGAACTGCTACCTGATGGAGTCAAACCTTGGATAGATAGTGTCTGCAAAATCTGGAGAATACACTAAATTAGTTCAAACTTGAGAAAAAGTAAAGCTAGCATGTGACAATGATATGTTGCACCACCAGGACAGTAAATAATCTAGTATATCTGCATTGTGGCTCATCATGTTACAGTATTCAATGACCTAGACAGAGAGGCCAATATCTACATATATCAAGTCCAATAAGCAAGAGAAAGAAACAAGGTGGAGGAAATGTTATATAGCTAAATTCTCTGCATTCTCCAGGTCTTTTACATATTATACACTCTAATTTTATTTCCTTTCCCATAAAATATTACTTTGTTTGAAAAATATTCATGGTAAGTTTATTCATCTATTTGTGTTTATCTCCTTATGCTGAATTAATTTTTCCAAAGTGATTGACTATTTAATTTGAATAAAATATATAACCACATAAGCTTTAGCATTATAAACTACCAACATTGAGTACATACCATGGTTTGCAGTACCGATCCGTACCGCCCGGTACGGGCGGTACGTACCGGTCCGTGAGACTTCCGGTACGCGGACCATATGTTACCGTTCCGACACTGTAGCAGTACTGTAGCGTACCGCTCGGTACACCTGGGTGTACCGAGCGGTATACCGTACCGTACCGGTACCGAGCCCAGATCGAAACTCCGGTACGATACGGTATTGCGAACCTTGGTACATACACTAGGCATGATAATATAATATGAAGTGGAAGATATTGTAATGATTTGTTCTATTGTTTCTTCACCTTCTGAATATGTTTATGTAGCCATTTCAGCACACAGAAAAACTCCATGTTGCCTGGCACAATCCAGTACAGGATCTCTACCTAAGGAAAGGGTAGATGAAATGGCACAATCCAGTACAGGATCTCTACTTTTCCCTGAAAGAACTTTATAGCAAGGTGGCTTTATCAATAGCTTCAAAGGAAATGACATATAACAGGTCTTCCCATTGCCAAAACCTCAGACTCCCACTAGTTCATCAACCTTGATCAAGGAACCCCTAAAATAAAAGGTACTATTGCAGGCAATATCGGCAGGGTTAGGTTAGTTTTATCCACCTCTTTTGTGTTTCCTACCTCTACCTGTTGATTTTCATTATTTCTTTTGCACTAGAACAATGTCATCACAACACATTCCAATAGCAAATACAAATCTATTTGCCGACCAGCTTATAAAGTGCCATGGATGGGTTCAAGTAGCTGTCTCTGTTTCTGTACCATATCTAAAAACTTGAATTAGTTTGTACCGATCCTGTTAACATACATATGTATTTATTTGACTCAGATAAGTCATCATGATGCATGAAATTGAGGGAGAGCCCTCTATCCTACCTGCCTTTTCTCTCTCTCTTTTTCTTGTAAGAAAAATACAAGTTGATTCACGAGTGGGGGCACCAACAAACAAGCATTGACTAAACTAGCCAAAATCAACTGTTTTCAGATGGAATAAGCTAAACCTTACTGTTGTTTCTAACCAAATATGACAGATTTTCAGTGATAAGGCCAAGAACTGAAAGTCCAGAGAGCAGGACTGACCAACCTAGATCTGGATTTAATTGGTATCATCTTATCTAGCAAACTTAGATATTATTAATGGTTAACTTCATCATGTTAACATACTTCTCTGTTTTTTCATATTTTATTTTGTATCACCTATTCATTTTTACTCATGAACTCAACATTGTGTTGTTGTGTTAATTATTCATGACTGTCTTATATCTTTGCCATTAACTTTTGGATGC